ACAGTTTTAAAACAATGTTCTTAAAATATATGGTTTGGAATGCTTAACTTATAATATATTGAAGTATTTCCACTTGATAAGGGTATTGTTATTCCAGAATGTTATTTTCTATCAACTGCAAATATTGGTTAAACATCTAGTATTTTCCAACTACCATAAGAGACACTGGCCAAAAAATGGTAAGAAAGGTAAATTGAGTCTTTGCTCTTATGAATTATAAAAGTCTAGAAGAAACACTGATAATTAAAGAACCATTATATATTTCACAGTTTTTAGAATGCTGAAGAAGCATAAACCTTGACCATATCCCATAATTTAGACAGACTACAAGAAAGTGTTATAGAGAAGCTAAAATCTAAAAGTTGAGACTTCAATGATGAGTAGGAGTAAATGGAGAAGTAGAACTTAATATGAGACTCATTTGAATAAGGATTAATTATGGAGATTATATTGAATGTTACATATAATTATATTTTGCATTTTGTATAAAATTTTATTGCTTCCTTTTACATTTCTCACTTATTGTCATTTTGTCTTATTTTGTTTGTTTTCAAAACTTATACATAACCATTATGAAAATTTAAACCATAGCAGGAAGAATAAGGAAGAAAGTTGTTAGTCAATTGCCAGATCTTCAGACAAAAGCACTTTCAGTAATTCATTTATAACATATGAAAAACTAATGTGGAAAAAAAAAAAAAAAAACTAGGAATCTAATATCATGACAGTGGCAATTAACACCATTAGACCATGTCGTAATTCTTCATCCAAACTACAGCACTTATCTTCTCACTGTCCACTTCCCAAGTAGCTACTTGCCTTTAGACTTCAACCAGTAAATAGAGTTCAAGAACTTAAACATCCAGTGTTTAAATAGGTTTTAATCAATGCATACGAAAATTCTAAGTACTTCTGAATTAAGCATGTTAATCATGTTTAACATGATCGTAGTTTTAAACAATAAATTAGTTTAGTTTGTCTTGAAATAAGACTGAGAAGGTGAATTGATTCAATTATTATTATGACATTGAACTAAAACAGGAAATTATAACATTGAACTAAAACAGGAAATCAATTAACATAATATAGTTCCTTATGTTAGAATCCCATGAAATAATATGAAAATATATAAACACATGTAAATTTAAAAATATTAAAGTTTGAAGTAAAGTAGTTGCAAAATAAATCTATCAGTGTAAAATTAGAAACACCAAATTCATTATAAATGATAGTGCTTATTATTGGTTACAATATGTTGATAATTAAGCTAAAGTCATGCATTTAATTCCCGGATGTTCCAGTTTACTCTGCTTTGTTTTAGAGACACAGAATGAATCACAATTCCCAGCTGTCTTGGAAGTGTGTATTATTGATGATGAGGGATATACTGCCAATATGTGGACAGATTAGTCCAATTCCATTACAATGACAGAAAAAAACAATTCTGAGCACATTTCCCAAAGAGAGTGGGTCAGCACAGCAGCTTAATTTTTATTTCAGTTTGGCACTAAACATGTGCCTCTTGTAGACAGATGCGTAATGACAGTTCTTTGCAATGGTAAAGGGAAGATTTTTTTTAAAAAACCATGTAACAGCTTTCCAACACAGGTAATTTTAAGACTGTGAGATTCCTGAACAATATAGCCAATTTATCCAAATATTTCAGGCTCAAATTACAAGGCACATATTAAAAGTTCTGATTTGGCAATGTTAGTTTCTGACATGTCCTGTGGTTCAATATTCAGAAAGTGGTAAAATAAATGATGGAATCTATTCACATGAGAAAAATTCCTAAATAGTCCAAAAATAGTTTACTTTTATCTTTACAGAGCAGTTACTCCCCTCTCTGTGGCCTAAAATTATTCCCCTATTTACCATGCCCCTGGTTTTTACCTGTCACGTGACACTTCAAAATTTAAAAGTACTCTAAATGAAGTAAAACTGGAGCCATGGGCATGTCGCAAGGCTGTGTGTCATTGAAAGCATTAAATGTACCAAGAGAGCAATGCTACCATTATCTTTAACCTAGTGGAGATAATGAGAGACTCAAGTATTAGAAATAGGTAGGAAATACTAAAAACTTGAATACAGTGGCGAAAGATGTTTTCTTATATTTCCTGTTAATATATTTTAGGCATAATGGTTCCCTCTTATAGTTTTATTAAAAGGATACATATTATGTTTAGATATTTTTAAGCAATTTAGTTTTTGTGGATTCACATGAGAATTTAATCATCTTTTATGAAGAAGGCATTTGAAATGGAAAAAAACTAAAACTTTTGAAGTATTCACATTATATGCCATGCCATATGCTTAACACTTTATATCTAATTTAATCCTCACTTCAAAACAACCTTAAAAGTACTCTTTTAAGTACTTTTAGTCCTTAAAAGTACTAAAATGAGTGATTAGTATCCTTATTTAATGATATGTAAAAAGTTGTTCAAGGGCTCTAAGCTAGGATAACCCTAAGTTTTAAACAACGAATGTACATGTGGACTTTTATCACTTAGTACCAAGAGACTTCTTTTTATTCCAGTCTCCAGTTTTTTTTTTCTTTTTTGTGTGATAGTACAATATTCAGTTAGATATACTACTACCCAGCTAGACAACGTTTTCGCAGGCCCCCTTTCAGCCATGTGTGGATATATAACCAAATTGTAGCCTGAAGTACAAGTTGTGTCTTATTTTCATAACTACAGGCTGGACTTAGGATGTACTTGCAAGAACAGGGCAGCCATCTTGAGCCATAGATAGAAACCACGTTTTGAAAATGGGAGAAACAAGATATAAGGAAAATTATTCCCCAGCAGTATCAAGCTGGGGAAACAGTCTTAGACAGACTGCCTAGACATTTCTGTTTGTTTAAGTTGCTGTATTTTTATGGATATTTCTATTTTACGTTGTGTGTGGTGTGACACATTGTTAAAACAGCCTACATGATATACTATGACCAAGATATAACTAATATATAACATTGTTTTTATGTTTCTTGGTAATTATACCTTTGATGTTGAACTTGAACAAAACGTATTCAATCTTATGATGATGATCATAAGTTATGAAGACGTTTGCTTGTAATGCAGAGAATACATAAAGAAATCAAACCTCAGTTTATCCATTTGAGTTGTTATAATTTAAGAACATATTACGATACATGTGATTAAAAGCAATAAAATTGTATATAGTTAAACTTAATGTTATATAATCATTGCAAATTAAGAGACATATCCACATACTGGTGACAGTTGTAATATTAGATAATATCTCAAAACCACTACTTAATTATTTAAAACTAAAACATACACACACAAGACATACACAAAACAACTATTATACCAAATAAAACAATGAAATGGAAATAATTTCAATAATGAATACATTATATGGTGGAAATTTCATATAAATAATGAATAACCTTTTGTCTAGCACTGCTGCATCCTTTGGCATAAGAAAATGGTGAAATATGTCTAGGTACCACCTAGACTACCCGAAAAATAGAAGCACTAGGCAGAAAGTAGGAGCACATAGAAAGCCTACTGCAGATGAAGATTAATTGTGATGAAGATGCCTCCAGAACAAAAGTACTGCTAAATGTCATCATGTAAAAAAAGTTTCCTTTTTATCACATTAACATATCAATGATCCTTTGTCTAAATTTACTTTAAGAGACTCCCACATTATATTTGGTAATCATTAATTTTAGTATTTTTAATTTTCCAACAATTGAAAAATTAGCATATGCATACCATACAAACATAATTGTTTTAAAATTTGTAAGTACATTCCCTTAAGTTAGATGAGAAAACTCCTAAGTTGCCCAAATAATGTTATTACATTGAAATTCAGAATTTTTAGTGACTTTAGAAGGGAAATAATTGCAATTAATCTTTCATATTAATGCAGTTAGGTAATTACTAGGTGAATCATAAAACAGTTTGTGAAAGGTAAAAAGACACTAGGCGATAAGATGGCTATATCAATTTTAGAGGCTATTTTATATTTAAAGGCATTAAGTATGCTAAAACAGGTCTACTGTTTTTAAATGATAAAAGTATGCAATAAAACATATTTGAAAACCATTTCATGGAGTTACTAACCACATACTATTGATACAAAAACTTGTCATAACTCTATATCTATATTTACATGCGTACATGTATAGCTATATTTATACCTAGCTCAGTTGTACTAGTGTATGTGTGCATTTTTCCTTTTTTAGTACTTCCTAATTAGCTTTTCCTCTTTCTCAGTAGGGTCAGCTCCAGGTCACAGCACAATTACACATATCTAAGATTCCCGCAACACAAACATAATATTCTACCTCATTTTTGATGTTCATATTTTTTCTCTCATTAAGGATCTGCATGAATCCATATGTCCAGTGTCACATTTCACATTGGATTACTCTGTAGTTGTCAGAGTGTGAACTTCCAGAAAGGGAAATTATTGGTTTTATAATAAAGCATATTTTATATGTTTTTATAATGAAGGGCCAGATTTTGCCTTGCACTGGCCATAAATCTGCCCTGGCAGATTTTAGTGTGCCTGAATGCACACTAAAAATCATGCAGAGAAGGCAGAGGCAGAAGCAGTGATTCGTAAGGACAGTTTTTTCAACAGTGTTTCTGCTTTGAAGAACGTAGAAAGATGAGGGCACTTCTATTTCAGTAGTTTGAAGGAAAAATTCTTGTTTGACAACTATGGCATGCAACATAAATTCTCATAGTTTGGCTGTTTACAGCAGTTGGTAAAATGTCAGAGTTGCAGTATGTATCAGTTGCAGAGTATCAATAGCAATGATGTATGTGCTTTCTTATTTGGTAAGACTGAACAAAGAGTGTTGCTTTTACTTCTGCAGGCGATCTGTTACATTTTTTGGTGAATATTTATGTATTTATTTATTGACAGCTATTAATGAAAGTAGTTTATAATACGGTTTCCTTTAGAAACTGTAAGTAAATGAAACATAACACAAATTCTGATATGTACAATCTTACCAGGTGAAGATAAGGCATAGTAATGTAGATATTAAAATCAAAACTTGATTAAACATTGCAGACTGTGTTCGCTGAATTGCTCTGTGTAGATCATTCTAAAATAATACAGAAAAAAAGTTGTAAATTTTGATAAATACTGAATACGCATGAGTTTCATTACATTTATTAGAATACATTTCATGTCAACTCTCCTGTACGTAAACATATATACATAATCAATGTATGTATTTCAAACACAAATATTAGCATATTTCCATTTTTGCTTAGATCTAAATGTAACTTACTCAAGCTTGCATAGTACAAAGATATTGGTATGGGAAGACTACCAAAGCACTGAATTTCAGTTTACTTGCATTACAGACATCTGAACAGGTGTTGCACTTACTCCCCCAAAACCCCTACATGTTAAGCATGACCTCTCACGGAAAATCCTAATTTCAAAAGATCAGAAAATAGTATGTTTAATTAAGGAAGAGTGAAGAGATGAGTGAAACTACAAACAAAGCTCATTATCAGAAAAATTAACATCAATTAGACCAGATAGTTTATCTTGAAAAGAAAAAAAAAATGAAAAAGACAATAAACAAATTTTTTCTAAGTTTAAATTCTTTAGCATTATGATAAATGTCAATTCATGATATACTATATTTTATCTTTCCAATAGCAAACAGTAAAAAATAATTTTTAGTGTTGTTTAATGTACAAAAGTGAACACTCACATGCACTACCCCTCAGGTACTTTGTTATAAATTTCTAGAAGGCAATTTGGTAATATAAGTCAAAACTCAGAAATACATCCTATCTATTTCAAGCATTAAATCATTAAGTATTTACTCAAAAGTATAATTTCGAAAACTTAACCACATGAAAGTCATAAGAGATGGGCACCAATATTTACGTTCATCTTTATTACAAAATTATAATACTTAGTAAATAAAATAATGAATGTTCATAAATGTTAAAATAACTTAAATATGTAATACAAAAATTGTTACATAAATTGATAGCTACGTAAATTTAGCCAAATCCATTAAAACTGATTTGAAGGAGAAATTTTAATAACATAAGAACTAGTCCACTACATACCAGTATATGACAAAAAATTCCAATTATGCAAACATACATTATTATTCCATGTATGATATGTGTGCATATTTTTGCATAGAAAATATTTGAAGGATATAAATTATTACTAGTGTTTAGTCTATGCAGTAGATTGCTGGATTTTTGTAATTTGTATCATTTTTATCTCCATTTTTAAATAATAAACGCTTAGGCTTAAATCAGTACAGCATGAGATAACTAACTTCACCAATAAAAATATCTCAATGAGTCATTATTTGTCTACCACTAACGTGTCTACCACTTATTTAAACAGAACTGTTTTGAAGACAAATAACTAAGTTGACTGATTTGGATTTCATCTCTCACCGTTTAGTTTCTAATGGCAGAGGTATTAATGAACAGAAAAGTAAATACAAGTTTAGCATCCGGCACGAAGAGATATGGAAATAAAATGGAAAATGAATCTTAAATTAATAATGCAAAACAGACTTTTTTACTGTCAATATTTGTCTAATGTATCCTGTCTTGTTTGAGTTATTTTTTCCAACAACTAATAACACAGAAATTAATAAATAAGTTTACTTTTTTCTGATATATTTTTATTCATTAGCAATTTAGGCAATCTATATTTAGTCAAACAGTATTTCATCGGGGCAATTATGACAGCCCAATATTTCTGCAAATCATTTCACAGGCCACACTCTCCCACCCTTTGGCCATGTACTTTCATAAGACTCCAGTGGTTACTCGATATAAATGTTTAGAAACATTCATCCAGTTGTGAATACTAAAATGTTATCCAAATATTCCTTTGGCCAAAACTGTAGTCATAATGTCTGTTTAAAACCCATTTAAATGGAAAATAAGTTTGCCTCCAAACCAGTATAATTTTCAACGCAGTAAAATTAATAATATTGAGCCCTTACTTTGTTGTGCCAGATAAAATACTATACACACATATTATACATATGTACGTGCATACATTTTGTGTATATATGTATATATAATTTCATCTGATTATCACAAAACTTGTAGGTGCTTTTCTTTGCAGATAAAGAGAACAGCAAAGAAGTCAGATCATTTGCCTATCACATTGTTCAGCACATAGTGAATATGTATTAACATTTGTGGTATGAATGATTCAATGGCAATGCCTTACAGCTAGCTTTGAAGTACTAAAGCCTGTGGTAAAAATGTTTTGGTCATAGTTATAAACCATGCCGCCAAGCAGATTCAGCCTTGGGCAAAATGCAACCGTGGCACAGCTCTGAGTTCTCCATCTTTTATTCTACCTCTTGCTTCCTTTTCCCCTAATGTCCCACTCACAACCCCGCTCAAGCAAATCCAGAAGGATGACTCTAAATGAGGGACTTCTAGCTCCCACATAGAATCTTAGGAAGCCCCACAGATGTTCACTGAATATGAGACTACCTACAATTAAGAGCAGTTTAACAAAATCACTTAAGTGAGCCCTCAAAAGCCAGGAGTCCCATTATGCATCAAAAAACTGCCTTGGGAGGGAAGGATATTTGTACTCTGAAGATTGGCTAAGTGGCTGAACCAGTCCAAAAACCAATAAGGTTTTTAGTGATATTGAGAAATTCTGAACCATTTTTGTTTACCAGTCATAGGACCTTACAAAGGTAGTAACTTGGCAATATGGACATTTTACAAGTTTTCCTTCTGATTAAGATACAGCAGACTGTTCATTTAAGGTCTGTTAACCTACAAATTTATACTATGTATCTCTTTAATTATTTAACAGTATTTTACCAAAATGACTCATTTAAAAAAAACATTTAAATGAAACAATTGACTATGACCCTAAATTAATTTAAAATATGTTTAACAATGAAACACTTGAAAATTTAGTTACAGCTTAATTAATTCCAATAGTATGAGTTATACGTTATGGGAGAATGCAGAATAAGAAAATTCAAGACTAGATCCTAAATTATCTCTTTCTATTTAGTCTAAACATTGAAAATAAGAAATGGTTTAAAAATCTTTTCATATTTGCACTTCACTTCTATACTTACAATCATATTTTCCAAGGCATGTTTGGCAAGCCAACAGTTCAGAAAGACTGGGACAAATAGATTCCTTAAGGAAGGCCAGAATATCTGGAAAACAAACCGAAACTAGACTTTTATCTCAAAGCGATAAATCATACCCAGCAGACTGAAAAGAAATAGAAAAAAAGTTATTAAAGAAAGTGTAATAATTTAAAACATGACAAATAATGTAAACTCACTATTAATAAAATGCAAGAAATTGATATGTTCTTTCATTCATTGTCTAAATCTTTCTTAGGGAAATTATTGCAGAAGCAAAAAGAAAATAATAAGCTCTCACCAGATGGCAGATATCTATGCTAATTCTATCATTAAATCTTTTAGTGTGGTGGTTTATAATAGACATTGGCTTTCTTTTCTCTGTAACTTGAGGTATTAAGTAAGAACAAAGAGGGAAGGTACTCTCTCTTTTTACAATATTGCCTCTTATTCTTTTTATGTTAAACCACTTTAAGTGACGTTGGGGAGCTATGTTCAATTAGAATTATATTTCGTTAACCTGTCATTTAATCTAGTCCCAGTTGCTTCTCTAGATAAATCACTCAAATTAAAATAATTATCAGAAGAGAGCAACAGCTCCAGGTAATATCTACTTATTTTCAAAATCTCCCAATTCAAATAAAGTGTTACAATGTATAATCCCAACAGACATTATTACAACTTTATTAAATTGTGATTAAAATATAATTTTGCAACAGGAAAGTGTTGAGTTACATACTTATGGGACTGTAATTGAATAGGATCATCATGGAACTGATAACACACAGCACTTTGAAAAGAAGTAAAATGTTGGGTGTCTGACTTTTGGCAATCTCCTCACTAAAAAGAGAATTGGACTTAATAAATCTTGTGGCTAAACCACAGATAAATATTTTCAACATATTAGAAACTTTTGTAAATAAGTTTCCAATTGGCTTATTTTAAAAAAATCCACAATATAAACAATAAGTGGATAAGTAATTTCTAGTAATTTTAAACAATAATGACATTTGTCAAATGGCATCCCCAGAGCATATAGCTCTTTAAAATATTTTATTTGCTATTGTACTAAATCATTAGTTTCCATTTAGTTACACAATGCAGTTATCCAGTCAATTTTATCTTGTTGCTTAGTATCATGATTCTAACCAAAGTCTAAATCCATTTATCTTAGCTACCATATTATTTAACAGTATCTAGATTTAAAGATTTTACTTAAGTCTAATTACAAAAGTGTTTTTTAAGGTTCTTTCAGGACTTACTGAGATAATGAAGGGAACCGCATTAATTATTTCCAAGATGAAGGGTATTCGTAAAATCTGTTCCCAGATGTTTCCCTTCCAAGAAAGAATGAATACAAATGAAAGTCAATTATACTGCATCTTATTAAAGGGGGAAAAAGACAGCACTTAGAATTTCTCTAGCAATAAGGATGCTTCCATTAACAGAATACTGAATATTGTATAGAGATGTAGCAATGACTTTTAGAGATTATTTTTCTTAGTGTAATTGTGCTCTCTCAATTTTGTAAGTTCAAGAAGTAAAACAAATGTTTGTAGAAACCATGAATACTACACATAATATTTTTTATCAAGTAATATGTCATGGAAGAAAACGTACTAGTAAAAATAAAACACACTAACAAAACCTACAGAGTCAATTAAAAAGTGACAATCTGAAGTTTTACTTACTATAATAATGATTTCACTAACCATCAAGTATATTAGTTTGTGAAACATACCCTTGTTAACAATCATTGGTATTAAAATTGCTTTCACATTAATACAATTTAAAGGAAGGTATTTTTCAATCATCTAGACTAATCTCCCTACCCACATAATACAAACAGATTAATCAGGACTGAGTATATAATTTGCAGGACCCAGTGCAAAATGAAAAATATAAGGCCTTCTAATAAGAAATTAATAATTTCAAGAAGGTAACATTAGAACATTCAACTAATCATGAAGACCTTCTGGTTGTGGAACCCTATGCTGACCCTGATATTATGCACAAAATACATGTCCGTGAAGCTGACCCTAACATTAACAGGTCATCACTGAAACTTTCTTGATTGGTGTCTGATGATAATGAGCACAGACTTTCCTTTAAAGCAGTTTATTCTTCTATGAAGAGATCTGTGTATTAGAAAGGCAATTTGAAATCTGCTATCTCTGTAATCTCCAATTATCCATTAAAACACTGACTATAAAACTGGGACTCTTTTTATTAATTTTCCTTAAGGCCCCAAAGGCTTAAAACTACATTGATGGAACATACTTGCACATCCCAAAGCAAAGGTTTAGAGCAGCTATTGTTTCTATGTACTAAGAAATTAAGTAATAGGTTTTGTGAGCATAGTTTATCACTCTCATCCAGGCTACATAAAAACAGTAAAGGAGTGGGAAGTTAGAAGAAAGGGAAGCAGTGAGAATGCCTCCTTACAGAGATACTACAGGTGCTGTGGTGCATCTTATCACCTCAAGTTAAGTGAAAAGGGCTGTAGGGAACCAAACCACTTAGCTTGGCTCCAACATGGAGACTGTATTTGGCTACTGCCCAAAACTTTTTAAAATGAAGAAGTCAAAGAAAAAGATGACTGGGTAAGAGCAGGACACAATCTCTCCAATTTTAAGGCAAAGTGCCTATTTTCTGGGAACCAGATATAGACCCTAAAGAATGGAACCTATGGTTATTTAAAAATGGCTTACACTCAATAAGACTGTGTAGCTGAAGGTGAAATGGGACTTCAACAGATGGTGGACCTGAGAAGTCCAAGGTCTGTGTCAGAGCACTAGTGGCTAGCCTGACACACTGAGGCCTCCAGGAAATTCAAAGGCCCCAGATAGGCCACAGAATCTTTACATGGGAGAAAGAGCCAGAGCTTGTGTCTGACATGCGGAACAACCAAAAATCAGACAATAACTGTGCCAGTCAGGCAACTTCAACCCAGAAACTGACTGCACTTCATTCCCTGTTCTTCCTTAGCCTTAAAGGGCATTAAATAAGAAAGGAGGTAGAAACAGCAGATAGGCCTCCCATGATAATTCCCTGTTCCATGTAGGTCTGAATTGAGGACAGGGAGAAGCTTTCTTAGAGGAGAATTTTAAATTTTTGCATATAGCAATCCTAATTTCTTAAATACTAAACTGAGATTTGCTGTATGAATGAAAAGACCAGAAAAGCTATGGCACCTCTCTGAGATGTCATCTGATTAGCATGGATCAGACAGAGGATGCATGGTTTTGAAGAAGTGTAGAAAGACTGGTCTTTTCCTACTACCACTGAATCAGGACTATTTAACAAAAGAGTTATAACTAGTCATAGTTATGCCATGTTTTTTTTTGAAATTGTGTAGGTAATAATATGATTTCTTTCATCAGTTTTTACACGGCATCATTTCCAGAATGTTATCCTTTGCCTTACTCTTCCTTTATTGTATTTTCACTTTTCATTTTACATTTTTCTTTGGTGTCAATGATTGTGCACAGGAAGAGACTGATCTGAGTAGCAAGAAAGGAAGGTTATGGGAACAGTTTCTACTAGTGATATAGAAGGATATTTCTGTTAATGCCCAGCAAAATTAGTATGAACTGTGGCACACTGTATAATTTAGTTCATATAAACAAAAGCCTTTTATCTCTCATGGCTCTCTTCTCTTCATTTCCATTTATAACACATTAGACTTTTATGATTCTTATTTAATTATCTGTCTAGGTTGAGTTTGTTTCTGATTTTTCCTCCACATTAAAGCCAGAAGAATCTTTTCTACAATGCCAAATTCCCATTGCTCACATAATAAAATCCAAACTCATCACTGTATTGCATGAAATTTCACAATTTAAACTCTGGCTACTAGCTTGGCTTGTACTTTTGATGTTTCTGTCCCTATCCTGAACTCAACCAAAGATTCATCCATGCTGAATTTTATATCCATCGCTGAACAAGCTAGGCTACTTTATGCTTGTATACCTCTGCCCACATCTGTCCCCCTAGCTGTAATATTATACCTCCAGACCTTCAATACTAATCCCCTTGGCAAGCATCTGCAACATTTCAGTGAACTAATTTTTTAAAATGCTTGTGGGGGCTCAATTAATATCATGAATGAGTAAATGATACTCCCAGCTATTTCATACATACTCTTCCCCTTCTTTGATATAGTTATTTTATTTTTGGAGCTTAAATATTTGCATTTCTTTCCATTGGATCCAAATGATCTCATTTGAAAGAATGGCATTGTTTAAAACCTTTATACTTCAAGTAATCACGTAGAAATGATCAAACTTGTAATTGCAGAGCCAACTGAAATTTTCTGGAGGAAAGGATTCAAGAGTTCTTGTTTATATGCCCATGTTAAGTAATTTCATCCATGTTTCAGTTTCAATTTATAATCAGTAATAAGCAGAAATAAGTAATGACTTCCAGTATTGTATCAATAGCCCGAATCAGTATTTTATCTCTTGAGATTCTGACTCAGATCAACTGCTTAATCCACTGCTTCACATCAATGCCTCAAAAGCACTTTACATATAGTATTTCTAAAGCAAAACTTATGACTTGCTCCCTGACTTATCTCCCAGTAGCACAAACCAAAAATCCTGGAGAAACTTTTTAAATTTTCCTTTCACATTATACTATAGTTATACTTACATTATAATTTATCAATAAGACCTACTAACTTGTAAATAGATCTTGAGATTTTCTAGTTTTTATTTCAGCTCAGTTCTCACTTTTTGACTTGTTAAGCCTAATTAGCCACCATCTCTTCATTCTTGCCCCATTCCAATTCATCTACTGCACTATTACCTATCTCCTGCACCTTCACCCCAGAACAGGCCTACTTTTCAGAACTATTCAGACACTTACACGACAAAGACAAAAATGTGATTATATCATACAAGACACTATTTCATTTGTCTCTTGTTGACATCTCCAACCTTAAAGATCATTCCTTCCATAGATGTAATATATAAAGTATATTCACTGCTTAGAACATGACTTATGTATACTTTTGCATATAACTCTTCAAGAGGCTTGGAAAAGCTTTACCTTTCTTTCCAACTTCACTTTGCCAAGTTAACTCATACCTGCCTTTCAGCTCGCAACTGAAATCTGAGTTTTTAGAGGCTTTCCTTGCCCCTTCATCATATGCCCTCTAGGCAGGATCTCCCCCGACATTAGGCTTCTTGATCCTCCATCAATTTCTTTCATGTCATTTTTTTTCACGTCAGTTTGTATTTATATACTTAATACATTACAACATTTTAAACTCTGTGAGGTCAAGGTCAGGACAAGTATATTTCAGGATTGCATGCTCTGCTCCTAGCACAGTGCTCGACAGTCTGAATCTCCTAAATAAAAACTGTTGGTACATTATGTCAACCATGGATTGTTGCTTCACACCACATGTATGCATATATGTGTGTGTTTGTGTAAGTTTGTGACACATGAATGAACTTCCCACAGAGGACTAATTTTCATGGTCTAAAATTGTACAGTGGGGCAACGTATTTATTGCTAAAAATAAATGCATCTCTTTTCAGTTATATGCATTGAGTTTCATTCTAAGATTTCAGGTTGTCTTCTGAACTACGAGATACATCCATAAATTATCTTTCTTAAAAATAGCTAATGAAACATAAATATAGAAAGGATCTACAAATTTCATTGGCCAAGAAAGAGTCCCAATAAGCCTAAATCACAAAAACCTAAGGATAAATGCTAGTATGGTGGAAAAAAGCACGCATTCATACAATGCCACTATGTAAGAAAACCAAGAAATAAAATTGAAAGGCAAGCACAATGCCTTTCAAAATTATATTAAATACATTTTCATTTCATCTTATTTTCATGAAGGAGATAAAAAGCATTATTCTTCTTCCAAAAAGTAACTTCTTTAGTTTCTGGGTAGTAGCTGTATCTGCTCTCAGTGGCCAGTCCTCTCTATGTTCCTCTTCTTATTGATAGAATTCAATAAAATATAAAGAAATCTCAATCCAATTAGTCTACATTTAGCATGGACACATCATTTTTAACCAATAATAATGCAGGAAAATATGCGATTTTCTAAAATGCATCACACTTTTATTTTTTTCATAAAGAAACATGGAATCTTGGAACTACTATCTGTGCAACCCTAAAGAGCACTTTAAAAATTAAATTAGTTACAGCAGTTTATTTGTTGCATGCCCAGATTAGACCAAGGAACATCTTGTAAATACTTTTTATTCTTAAATATTAAGTATAACTGTATTTTAAAGTATTTAATACAAGGTTGGTAATTTGTCTTCTTTGGATGAATTTAAAATAGTGTAGTAACGCTATGGCAGTCTTATTTTGTATTTCTGCATATAAACCCAAAAATATTTAGATTTACCATTTTCAGGGCAAGATAAGCAGAATCAACAGTATCTGGTATTCAGGAGTCCTGGACTAAATTCTTTGTTCTTTTCCAGAAATAAGCCAGTATGGTGTTAAACTTTCAAAATTGTTGCTTTTTGTAATGTGATTATGGAAAAAAGAATTGGAGATTTAACAAAAAGGTTCTAGGTATGATGAATTTTTATGTGTGGAGGTTTGGAAATTGTGCAGGAGTTTGTTTTTGTTTCCTTTTGATTTAATGAATGTGTGTGCATAAATAGAACTTTATTTTGAAAGCAGTTGATAAAGAATTAGAGGGTATTTATGACGACAAAAGAATAAGAACTTTAGTTTTGGGTGATTACCATGTTTGTTTTGCCAACTAGCTATAAACATGAATGGAATGATGATTTAAGCACAGACCTGCACTTCTGTATGACAGAAGACAAAATAAGTTCATGTCATGGATGCTAATTCATTATCTGCTAAACTCAACGTGTACTTTAATAGTTCTAGCTAATTTCACTTTAACATAGCCTGGTTTTCAAAACCTACAGTCTCAATGAAAGTTAAAACTATTTTAGTTGTTAATGATTTAGTTATGTTTATTTTAGAATGTCTAATTTCAAGAATTATAAAGTACTTGTATAATGCTGTATTAAGTGTATTTTTAAAATAATATATACACATATAGGCATATATATCTCTCTCTATAAATATACATAAATAAACAAATACAAGAAAGTTATATATGGATTTGCTATTAATATTACTATTTCAGAAGTATAAGTATCAAAGAATAATATCAGCAGTGGATACAATTGTTGGTGCAATACAATATCCATTTCTGTGTGTCTGTATAGTACTTTTCTTTAAAAAATCTAACTTAGTCAGGCATGTTGGCTCATGCCTATAATCCCAGCACTTTGGGAGGCTGAGGAGGCAGCCAGATCACTTGAGCCCAGGAGTTCCAGACCAGCCTAAGCAACATAACAAAATCCCGTCTCTTAAAAAAAAAAACAAATACAAATATTAGTCAGGTGTGGTGGTGCACACCTGCAGTCCCAAGCCACTCAGGAAGGTGAGGCAAGTGGATCTATACTGCCTAGGAGGTAGAGGCAATCATGCCACTGCACTCCAGCTTGAGCAACAGAGTGAGAACCCTGTCTCAAAAAAAAAAAAAAAAAAAAAATCTATGTTGAAGGAAGAAGTAGTTTTAAATTCTGCTACCAAAACATGCCTTATTTAGAGACCATAAAAGACTACCAATTACTTGGTTTACCCATTCTAAAAAAATTATTGAACACTCTGTTGAAGGGACCAAAGAGATTCACAGATTAGACTATATTTATGAAAGGAAAAAGAAGATAATTAACAGCAACCTATCCTTCTACTGTCACATAACTCCTATTTATCCTATCTGTTTTCTCTGTAACACACTGGACTTAACTGCTGTCTACATTTCCTCCATCGAAGCCATTAATGTTTATGAGGGTTGAAATGGAAATATTATATATCATCTAGCTCTGCACGCTAGGCCTTATAATTTTCTGCTCTAATTTTATAAATTATAAGCAATAATTGATTATAAATGTCATCATCATATGATTGCAATGAAAAATTATCTTGAATGGATACGTGTTTTTAAAAGGCTTTTAAAATTAGCGCTAAAAGTTCTATTAGCAAAACACCAACCTTAATTTCATATTACATTTTATCCAGAAGTTGGAGCAAATGCATCTTCAAATGTAGATTAATATTTTGGCCATGTTACAGTTCTATATATACTCCTGTACTAGTGGAAGGGATAGGATTAATTTGCTCCAAAACATGCAGGCCTAAATTTTAAGCATACCATTATTTATATATTACATTTGACATTTATCGTACATATCTATGCATGTATATTAATGAACATTGAAGATAAGATCTGGGATATTAATTTATTTGATTTTTTAATTTTGTTTTATTTTTCTAGTTACTCAATATCCAGATTCATCAATCAGGACATATTTATAGTGCATGTATTTTGACAAGGAGATATACTAATAAACCCTTAAAAGACCTTTCTTCAGCATCTTCATCTATATTGCTTATTATTGATTTAGTACTTTCTAGGTAATTTAGGGATGTGTGGTTACCATGTGTAAGTTCTTTCATTTCCCTTCCCTAGCTCTAATTTATTTCTTGATCCACCACTTTCCACCTTCTGCACTCTCCAAAGAGAATGGAGACTTTCCAAAACTAATCATTAAACCTCAGGTTTCTATTCCAGCTTACTTACTTCTTACTTATTACAAACTTTCCTGTAATATTTTACTCCTGCCTTGTAGTTTCTCTCTTTTTTAAACAATGCAGATTTTTTTTATCACGAAGCAGTCATCCTTGCTTCATCCTACTACTTTGAGTAAGCACCTGCCCCAGTCAAACAACATTCTCCATTTAACAATTTTGACACTCAATTGTATTCCATTATAGCTGACCTACTGTAAGCCAATAGCAAATGACCTCCTAATTTGTAAACTCAATATCCTTTTCTCAGACTTCTCACACTTGACATAGCACATGTGCTTTTATATAATACTTTTTGTTCCTCAGACATTTCTAACATCCTATGTCTTCTCATAAATTTTAATTAATCTACCTATATTTTTTAAAGCTGTCATTCTTTTGTTTTTATACTTTCTTGTTCATCAATCTGACATCCTTAGAAATTGGTGTTTTTTTTTTTTTTTTTAAGATGGCAATAATGAGCATTAAAAAGAAAAAAAAAAGTGAGCCTGAAAAAAGGATGTGTTTGTAAAAACTTCTTGTTCTAAATTTAGAATTAAATAATAGTCTGAAGAACGTTAACTTCAAAACTCTTATGTTTTAAAAAGTGAGACAGGGACAGATGCAGTGGCTCACGCCTGTAACCCCAGCCATTTGGGAGGCTGAGGTGGGAGGATCACCTGACCAGAGGAGTTTGAGACCAGCTTGGGCAACAGGCAAAATCGTGTCTCTACAAAAAAATACAAAAAAATTAGCCAGGTGGTGGTGTGCACCTATAGTCTCAGCTAGTCAAGACAGTAGGGAGAATTGCTTGAGCCCAGGGGGAGTTGAAGGTGCAGTGAGCCATAATTGTGCTACTGCTCTCCAGCTTGGGTGACAGTGTAAGACCTTTTCTCAAAAAATAATTTAAAAAGTGAGAATGAAATTGAGGTGCTAGATACGAGTTCCCCGAAAACATAACCTTGAGTACACTTGATAGAGTAAATGAAAAGGCTATTAACAAAAATTAGTAATGATTATGACAACCATTCCAATGACTTGCTAACTTTTCTAACTTCTCTGTCTTCCCTGATTGTTCTGTTCTTCCTCCCAAACCCTCAATTTAAGCATCTCCATCAACATAAGCTTTAGTTTCCACCCCGTTGATTAATCCATGCATGATAGATTCTCATGGCTTCCTTTACTATCAAGAAGTCTTAATAATTAACATGACTGTCAAGTCTTAATAAATCTCTCCCTCAAAAGTTCCAGCTTTTCATTCTCAATTGCATACCTTATTTATCTGTGTGTTCACCAGTACCTGAAATTCATCACCTCCAGAACTAATTCCATTATTTAATCTATGTGGATCCCAATCTGACTTTTTTCTTGATACAACTGTTTCTTAGTTTTACTACCATATTTCCAGTCATTAAAACTCAGAAACTATTAGAATGTTATGAATTTCCTTCTCTTCGCCTCTTTCAACCCATCAGTTGATGATTTCTTTAGCTTCTACCTTCATAATTAATCTTTCATTAAAGCTGGCAAATCTTTTCATCCAGCCAAAATCTTACTGTCAGTTTTCCTTTTATACTGCAACATATCTTAACTGAGCACATGAACTTCACCATAATGTCTATTTGACCTGAACTGCATAGAGATTCTGAACTAATATTCCTAAAACTGAATTTCAATTACAGAATCTTGTGGTAGTCATCTCCCATCAACTTAAAAATACATGCTGCTATACAATGCCCATATTCTAGAAAAATATATTTATTATTCCTCCAATTTTACATGTAAAGTCCTTCCTCTATGCCTTTGTGAATTTTATCAATCTCTATTGTGCTGTCTTTTCATCTTGCCTTATTGAAATCACTGAGGTTCAAGGACTAGTGTTTCCTTTTCATTCTATGATATGAGCTCTCTCTATAAAACCCCACAGTACTTTTTTGACATCACTGGAAGCACCCATTATATTCTGCTTTTATTATTATTATCCGTATGATGTTCTGCTGTAACCCCCCTTTTCCTGATTGTAAACTCATTGAGAAGAGAATCATGTGAAGTATAGAGCTCTCCATTAAATAGGAGCTCAATAAATATTTGTTAAATCACGTTAGCCAAACAAAGCTTTATCAAAAATAAGATAATTTATTAAAATAATTCCTAACAGATATGTTTTTACTTTCTCAATATTTTGTGTACAAATCAGAAAAAAAAATGTTGAATACGATAAAGCTGAACCATTCCATTTGCTTGCCTCACTAATGCATGCATATAATGGGTAAGTAAACCCATAGGAAGTAGCAAAGCATTTGTAAGTCATCAAGGAAAACATTACCATATTAATAGAGCTTTTTATCACCTACTGGAGAGGCTCAAAACAAAGTGGCTCAAGAAGAGTCAGCCTTACCCTCAAGTGCAAATTATAAATAAAGGAATACTGAGTAAACACTACCAATGTGTTCTATCAGTGGGAAACTGCTAATTAAAATAACTTACCTTATAACTAAGATAACCAAGTAATATTGTTTCAAACAGACTTATCAATGCCACTGAAACCTGAAAGATAAATTGCAACTTAATGAGAAAACACAATACAATTAAATTATATATATTCTTGACTATACTACTAATTTTATTTAAATATATGTGCATGTATACATATATGGGTGTATAATAGGACTTATTAGGTGGAACTTTAACATCTATACACAGATGACAGGCTGCTGGCCAGAGTTTGCTGTCTCCTGTACTACAGCTTAGTTTTCATAAATTCTAATACTCCTTAATAAACTATTTTTATTTATTATTCAAAATGTAAAGGTGGTATTAAAATAGACTGGCTGAAGTTTACATGATATATAAAGAACAGGTTCTTTTATGTGTGTGTTTAGTTTAAAAAAAAAAATTTAATAGAAATGGGGTCTTGCAATGTTGTCCGGGCCGGTCTCGAGCCCCTGGGCTCAAGCAATCCACCCACCTCAGCCTTCCTAAGTGCTAGGATTACAGGCATGAGCCACCATGCCCAGCTATGTGTGTGTGTTTCTAATACATAAAATCACACATAACTCTCCACCACAGATAACCGCTCTATCCCAGAAGCATGATCATCTGTACCAAAATCAGCATTTCTCTTCAGAAAATCCAGAAAAAGAAATAATACACTCTTCAAGTTTAATGGTATATTCAATCCTATCACCCATGTCAAACAAAATAAAAAGACTACATCTTTGAATACTAAATAAAATGGACCATACTAGCACTTCAAAATACTTTCAGACTTTATCTGAATGAATTTCATAACCAATTCCCCTTGTGCAGATAGAAGTGTTAGTCCTATCTTCCTATGTATGCTTCTATCTTTTTCTATATTCTCCATTGTATACATCATCTCTACTGCTAACTACCAAAAATACATTACTATGCCACAAAAAGTAACAAGAAAAGATAATAAAATTATTCTGTGTTAAATACTCTACAAACTTAGGATGGATAAATAGAATCTAATAAGCAAATATAAACAAAGAGTGACTCAGGTAAATATGTATGTTTATAGATTTTTGAGATTTAAGACTATTTGAATGAGAATGGCAGATACCCTGGAGATTACATTTTTTCTTCTGTTGGGATAAAATCTTTGAATTTAAAAGAATATTAAAACATGAGAACAGTAAGAAAACAGACAAAATGCTTAGCAGTGTAAAGTAAAATATGTTCAGAAGTATGTGTAGTAACCAGGCATTATTATGATAGAAAACTCAAATTCTTTCATTTTCTCCATAAATCCGCTAAATCATAATTACTCATGCTTTTTTGTAGAAGTACATAGCATTAGATGATCTCTAGAGCATTTTTAACATGTTACTCAAAGTGCTATTTAAAAAAGAGCACTGTTGTTATTTTAAAATATCACTATTTCAAAAAGCAATTTGAGTAGATCAAAATATATTTGAAGATAATGTACGGCAATTCATGAAACAATTTATTTTAAATGTACACTTAATTGAAGGATAGCTCAGAGATTAAAAAACTACATTTTAAAGAACATTTCAACAATTTCAGAGTTATTTATAAATTAATATGATATTGCAACAAAAGTCAGAGTAAGGCAATGTAAAAAACAACTTGACTTTAACGAACCATAAAACACTCAGACATATTAAAAACTTGATTTTGGCCAGGCGTGGTGGCTCACGCCTGTAATCCCAACACTTTGGGAGGCTGAGGCAGGAGGATCACAAGGTCAGGAGATCGAGACCATCCTCGGTAACACAGTGAAATCCCGTCTCTACTAAAAATACAAAAAAATTAGCCAGGTGTGGTGGTGGGCGCCTGTAGTCCCAGCTACTCGGGAGGCTGAGACAGTAGAATGGCATGAACTCGGGAAGTGGAGCTTGCAGTGAGCCGAGATTGTGCCACTGCACTCCAGCTTGGGTGACAGAGCGAGACTCCGTCTCAAAAAAAAAAAAAACTTGATTTCATGGTTATGATCACAATGCACACATATTTTAATTCATTATCACATACAAATATGCAGACCTTTAAGGCATGACTTAAAAATCTGGAATGTGGAATGGGTGTAGAATGAGAGATATTGAAGAAATTGAAGTGTGAGAACATAGGAAGGGGGTGGCTGATGAGAAATTGCTTGATGAATGTAACACACATTATTTGAGTGATGGATACAGTAAAAGGCTAGACTTCACTACTAAGCAAAATAGCTAGGTAATAACATTGCACTTGTACCCCACAAAGGTATACAACTTTATGAATAAATAAATAAAGTATTTTAAAGATTGCTCCTAACCAGTGAGTCTTAAAGTCTTTCCTCCAGACTCAAGTGTCTTCCAACCTCCAATTCTTTTTGATGTTGGTGATTCTATTCTTCCGATTAATTTGTAATTTTTAAAAGTAACAGAAAATAAAAAGGATCGGTAGGAAGTAAACAGAAGTACAGGAGATAGAAACTTACAAAAAGTTTGCTGGGCATGAAATTCAATAGAAAACAAAACAAAACAAAGAAATAACGGAGACTCTAGGGAACACCTCAACAATATAAATCAGACATGTTGTGCTCTTTCATATTTTCGTGGCCTTTCTTAAAGACTCCTTTTATGCTATGGCATACTTTTGGTTTTATTTACATGATGAGTTGCTTAGGAGCTAAGCTCTCCCTATTGGTGGTATGAGTCATTGTTTCATTTGTGCATTCATTAAATCATTATTTATTGATATTCTATCATATTGCAGACACTAAGAATACAAGGCAAAACGTAAACGCAGTTATGGGCTTTGATTAACTTTAAATGAATCGTATAACAAGAATACTTAATGTAGTTTGGGAAAATCTGTGGAGCCTTAAAGCACTAGTTTACTTTGGTTTTCTCCAAACTCTCACAAGCTCTTTAAAATCTAATTCTGATCATGATGAAATCCTCAAGAGGTAGAATGCAAGGCTCAGACAAACAAGAGAAAAAAAATGAAAATATTAGTCCAAGATGTACATGAAGATTAGTCAAGTAGAAAGACAAACTCATTTTGAACATCAAAAGCTCTCCAATAGTACTTCTCTGTGAAATATGAAAACACCCAGAGATATAGGGACAAAATAAAATTGTACATAACCTGTAAGCCCCACAAAGGTAGACTTCTGTTCACCCAAAAGATATGAGACCTATAAAAAGAATAATAGTAAGTTAATTTTTTTAAATGTGAAAAATGTATTCACTTTTAAAACTCAGTTAAAGTTGGAAATATTAAAATAATGCTAGCATAAAAAAGATAAAATACCAAAATTAACATTTGAAAAAATGTTTCTGCCTTAGCTTTCTTTATGCTAATATTCATTTCTATTCCAATAAAAACTTTTTGAATTTCATTTTTGGTCACTGTTAATAAATTAAAATATGTGACATTATTTAAAGAATGATATGGGAGGGCAGAATAATCTCAAACCCTTTACTGGATAATTTTACACTGAAAAGTCACTTAATAGTCTTCTGTAAACTCTAAGATTTTCTTATTTTTAACAGGACATATATTTGAGTAACAAAATTCAACAGTATAAATAATCAGAAAAAAGTCAGTAAAAGAGTATACAAGGTAATAATATTTCAGACTTGAAGTTCTATAAAATATTTAACATACCATGAAAAAAAGTGTGACTGGGGTTAACATATTGGGCAAGACAAGAAGTAATCATCTTTACTCCCTAAAAATATATTTTCTGATGATAAAAAGGCTTATGCTCTGGAAAGAACATCAGAACACTTACTATCCCTCTAATTCTAATTTTCCACAATTTATAACCTAGCTTTGTCTACATCATTTAGTACACAGTTCATTTCAATGGTAGTCACTCACAGCAATAGACACTATTCAGAAAAAGATGAAAATAATTACATTTTCCCGAAGAGAATCAGGTGAATGGTAGTTTTTTGCATCTCATAAAATAGTACCAAATCCCACTTTATTTTGCTACTCAAAACTTGAGCATCCTTTTAGATACTTTCTTCTCCTACATCTGTAAATACTAAACTCACTAGACACCAAACCTTTTCAGTCATTGCAACCAAATATCTGCAGAATTCACTTGCTTCTTTTCATGTCTACTACCACAATCACCTTATTCTAAGATATCATTTTTCACAATTGGATGCTTGCAAAAACCTACCAGTGGGAAACCTGCACCTTATTTTGCCCTCTACCATTTTTCTTCAAGTTGCAAATACACTGATTCTTTCAAAATGTGTTTTAGATCACATTACCCTATTCCCTATTGCGTAATGCCTTTGCACTTTTGTTAGAAAAAGATCAAAACAGTTGACCCGGCAGTCTCAGACACATTCAAGTGGACACACTCCTTCCTTCTACAAGCCCTTTCTACATTCTCTCCTCTCATCCTAGAAGACTCAGCTCAGCCCTCTGTGTTTCAGGGAAACTCCCTCTGAGGATTCCACTTGATCAACTTTGTCAACTAATCTCCTGGGCCATGTCATCCATCACACCTTTCCTGTCACTCATCTCAGTGGAAGCTTTATATGTATTTGTAATATGTTTCTTTAATGCCTGCCTCCTCACAATTACAAGCTCCATAAGATAAAATAACATATCTTTTTTACTCACCATTATAAACCCAATGGTTTGCTAAGTACATGCATATATTAAACTAGGCAACCAATTAGCAGTGATAAATGGTGCCAATAAAGGCAAAGATATAACTCATGAATTCAGTATCACTGTCCTTTCTAAAACATTTTCATATGCTGAGTAACATTTGAGAAATCAGACAATAACAAGGTGTGTCAGAGTGAAGAGGGATATATCCCCAGTTTTGTAAATGGAAAAAGTATGTGCCAAAAAAGCTATACTGTTAAGTAGATAGCAATCCCTGGGAAAAAAACCCTATAAAATGAGTTGCTAAACAGAAGTCTGTGAGTATTTTCGAAGAAAATTGGTAATTAACATAGACTTAGTAAAATCTGCTTGACTTTCATAATCGCCATTCTGACTGGTGTGAGATGGTATCTCATTGTGGTTTTGTTTTACATTTCTCTAATGATCAGTGATGCTAAGCTTTTTTCTCACATGCTCATTGGCTGCGTAAATGTCTTCTTTTGAGAAATGTATGTTAACAAACAATGCTCAGTTTTTGATGGGGTTGTTTGTTTCTTTCATGTAAATTTGTTTTAGTTCCTTGTAAATTCTGGATATTAGACCTTTGTCAGATGGATAGATTGCAAAAACTTTCTCCCATTCTGTAGGCTGCCTGATGTTAATTTTGATTATAGTTTATTTTGCTGTGCACCAGCTCTTTAGTTTAATAAGATCCTATTTGTCAATTCTGGCTTTTGTGGCAATTACTTTTGGCATTTTTGTCATGAAGTCTTTGCCCGTGCTTACTTCCTGAATGGTATTGCCTGAGGCTTCTTCTAGGGCTTTTATGGTTTTGGGTTTTACATTTAAGTCTTTAATCAATCTTGAGCTAATTTTTGTATAAGGTGTAAGGAAGGGGTCCAGTTTCAGTTTTCTGCATACAGCTAGCCAGTTTTCCCAGTACCATTTATTGAATAGCAGATGCTTTTTGAAAAGTCAAGAAACAATAGATGATGGAGAGTTAGGAACGCTTTTACACTACACTGTTGGTGAGAATGTAAATTAGTTCAACCATTGTGGGAAACAGTATGACAATTCCTCAAGAAGCTAGAACCAGAAATACCATTTGACCTGGGTATACAACCAAATACCATTGCTGGGTATGTAACCAAAGCAGTATACATCATTCTACTCTAAAGACACATGCAAACTTATGTTTATTGCAGCACTATTTACAATAGCAAAGTCATGGAACCAACCAGAATGCCTAAAAATGATAAACTGGATTAAAAAATGTACATATACACCATGGAATACTATGCAGCCATAAAAAGGAATGAGATCTTGTCCTTTTCAGGAACATGGATGAAGCTAGAAGCCATCATCCGCAGCAAACACAGGAACAGAAAATCAAACACCACATGTTATCACTCATAAGTAGGAGTTGAACAATGAGATCACATGGACACACAGATGGGAACAACACATACCAGGGCCTATTGGGGCTGGGGAGGGGCAGAGGTGGAAACTTAGAAAAAATAATAATAAATTTAGTTTAAGACTTTCACACTGCCAGTATAGCAGATTTGGTGAAATTAATACTTTTTTAAAGGGCCCAAATGAAATAATTTTCTAACGTGTATATCTGAAATTTGTAATAAAATCAACTTCATATTTTAAAAATTCTGAAAAAAGTCTGCTTACATCAAACTAATAGCATTTTCTTTGGTCTGTGATATTGGTAGACAATTGAAATGTCATAAAGAATTTAAATAAGAGTTTTAAAAAAGACATACTTATTTTCCAGGCTAGACTGTGTCTTATGAAATAGACTTCAGAATCTATTAAAAAATAAGTTCTACAAATCTCTGATATATAAATTTCAAGGAGATCTCCAATTGAAAGACATACTTTTATCAGTTTCCTTAACATTAAATTGGATAAATACAGAGAAGGAAGTGTAAACATTTTGGTAAAAACTAGTGTTCAAGCCCTCCTTCATAAAATGAATTTATCATGAAAAAAAGAATGTGGGATCTGATCTGCACATTCCTAGAAAACCTCCAAAATAAATGAGGAGTGAAACTAAAACTGACAGCCAAATGGTAATTTCAAATGAACATTTAATCTCATTGACAGAAAAACACTAGGAGAAAAGAAAACATGCACAATAATATTTATTTTGGTATTATTTATAGCAAGAGAGTAACTGGAATCTACCTGAATATCCAACAGAAAAGAGAATTTAAGTAGCAGATGCATCATCATCAAGTAAAACAACAAAAACATTACAACTAAGGAAAAAGTCATTAAAATATTGCTTTAGGTCATACCTGTACGTGTATGTTATCTATAATCTATACGTCTGTGTATAGAGAATTTGTAAATAATTAGTCATTAAAAATGCTAAAAATACTTATTCTAGGTGTTGTGATATAAGATAATTTTTACTTCCTTGTCATATACATCTATATTGTAATATGCATGAAACATTTTTAAATAATAAAACCAAATTTCCCTTTTCAAAAATACAAAAATTAAATAAAAAATGCAAACCAAAACTCAAATATATATCATTTAGTTATTCTGAATTAGACTATCCTGTTGATAAAATTCATGTATGAAGCATTATTATGAAAACTAAAGGAACCATATCAAACAATGTAAGGAAAAGCAAAAGTTAAATACAGGAACTTAGTAATGTAGCCTTGGCCACTTTTCCCAGAACACTTATGAACTGTCTTAAAAGTAGGAAAACAGATGGTAAAAGTGTGAGAACAGCTTTGGCAGAGGAGGTGGGAGTCATGGGGTGAATATGTTTAGCAGAAGAACAAAGCATTTGAAAGTAATAGGGTTAACATGCAGGACATAATTCATATGAAAGGACAGGTTGCTCACAAACCCAAGATGAACTCAAAGACCGATAGCACTAAAAAAAACTAATATAAGTTTGTAATGTATTAACAAATAATAAACAAAACAGGTGGGTAAATTATACAACTCCCCTGACCATAATATACAGTGAAATCTGAATACTAGATATGATACTAAGCCCACATTTCAAGACGAACATAAAATATGTAATACACATCCAAAAACTAGGTGACCAAAATATGAAAGCATATGAGTCTTGCCAGTATGATAGAAAGACTTTTCAGCGTTTGAATCCTTTCAAAACATTGGAAATATTTAATCCCAGGTTAGACAACCAACTATCAAGGATGTTAGAGAGAAGACTAATAACTAACTCTTTGAAAGAATGGACATTAAGGGCCCTTTCACCAGACATAACATTGGCTGTGACAGAGTTGGCTTTAATTAACATTCATTCTCCCCTTTCCATGGCACAGAGTCAAGTGCAAAAAAGTCACTCTTCAGTCAACTACATTTCTCAGTCTTTGTGTCAAGGTATGATGATATAACTGGTTCTCACATGGGATCTGAGTATGAAGTACAAGTAAAAGTGATGTTTGTTGTTTGTTGGCCAATAATTTTTAAAAATATATATGCCTTCTCCAAGCTCTCTTTCACTTTCTGAAAGCTGGATGTAAAGATTCTGGTCTTAGGACAACACAAAATCACAGAATGCAGGGGACTTGTACATATAACACCTATCATGTTATGGAGTGAGTGTGTGTGTGTGTGTCTCTGTGTGTGTATGTTTGTGTATGTGAATCATTATATGGCGAAAAAGTTCACAATGACCAAAAACACCAGTATTAGTCTCCAGTATTAGACTCCAGTAAACAAAAAAAAATACTTTTAAATGTTTGAGATTTGTTAGAGAACTTAGTTCTACTTTATTCTAAAAAAAAAGAAGAAAAGATCTACATTAAAATATTCATTCCTATTGATTATTAAATATTTAAGAGCTATTGTCAAAATTCCATTTCTTCCTTTAATAGTTGTTACCCTGAGGAAGAAATAATATGTAAAATTTGAATTCCACTTAAACACACTGTTTGCTATACTAGGCTTTGATTTTAACTGGAATCCAAATACCATAAAATAGGAGCCTGTTCATGTGCTTCTTACCTGTGTCTCTATCACTTGATGTTAAAAACAAATGATCATTTCAACAATTTTTAAATTGGAAACAGATACATGACTTTGGACACAGCGATGAACTGCAAGCATCAGCAGGCAATGAGTTAATACTGACGGCTCATCTTTCAATGTAATTTATAAACTACATGCTGCAGGTGTGCTTCCTTTGCTAACATCTTTAAATCATTGACTACACATTGCATGTACATCACAGTTTGCCATTCACACATCATATATTAAGAGTAAAATTAGTTTAATATTCTTCAGGTTTTCCATATTATAACATTTTCATAACAGTTTTGATTCCTGAAAGGGATTTAAAAACAAAGCAAAGCTGCACAAAATATCTGCAGACTTATCATGTCAGAAGCTCTAATTAAATAAATCTCTTTGCTTAATTAGCCTCATTATTTTAAAATAGAGCCTGCGCCCATAAAGGCGACTTCTGTTTTTCATTAACTAATACTGCACTGACAATGGGAACTAAACAGAACATTGTATTCAAAATGGAACCATAAATGTTTTTTAATTACCATAATCTGATTTTTCAAATGTATATCCTCTATAATTATGGCCAAATATTCTTAGTGATATTACATAGAAGTTAATTGTAGGAAACTTCGTTCCTCTTAATGTTTTCAAATAATATAATTTTACTCTGCTAACACCCACCAAATGCCCTTTTACCCTTAGAAGGATTCCATCATGCCTCGTTTTATGATTTTCAGGTCTCGCTAGTGTACTTTTTATTTACAAATCACCACATTTTAAAAATAATTCTGACATGATTGTAGAATAATTTGTTACATGAACCATTTTAATAACACTGACATCTCCATCAGTAGTCCTCAATCATTTTTACTGTACAACACACTATCAATAAAATTGCTGAGCATCATTTCATTAATTCAGCAGCATTCACTGACCTACCAAGTCCTGTGCTTAGTGTGAGAGCTACAGAGGAAAACATGGCATGGTTCTTGCCCTTGGTGAGCACATAGAAAGGACTGATAAGTGAATGGTAATATCAAGGGCAATGCTTTGGCTGTTGTGAGAGAAGTATGTGGGAGAGTACCCAGAAGACACTCCTAAGCCAGAGTGGAACTGGGCTACAGGGCACAGTACCCATAAGGATTTTAGATTAACTGTTATCCAAAAAGTTGTTTTCCTGAAGGCCCTGGAAGCCAGAAGCAAGTCAAAAAAGTGTGGGTTGTGAGAAGCAGGAAACCTAATTTCCCAGAAGAAGGAGAAGAATGTTCAAAAGCCCAGAGGAAGGGAGACTGAAGAGTGTATAAGCTACTTCAAGTAGTTCAGCATAGCTGGAGTAAGGGGCTGGTGAGGTGGAGTAGGCAAAAGTTAGATTACTAAGGAACTTCTTTTACTCATGTATCCATTCATTCGTTTAACAAATGACTATTGTTTCCCACTTTGTGCCAGGCTCCGGGGATTCAGGCAATGATCCCTGCTGTCCTGGAATATCCTCTCTAGTATTCATGGAATACCACAGAAAACAAATAAATGAGTAATATTAGGTAGAATATGTAAAAGAGAAACAGGATCTAAAGAAAAAAAAAGTAAAAGAAGAATGGTATTAAGGGAGTCTTATGAGGAGATTACAATTTTAAGTAGGAAGCTTCATATTATCTGAGGAAGTGCACCTTATGTTATCTGAAGGAAGAGAGTCCTGGACACAAAGAAATGCCCTTATGAAGGACCTGAGCTGGGTGTGTCTGGTATGATCGAGGAACAGGGAGGGGCCAACGTGGCTAGAGCAGAATGGGTATGGGATGAGTAGTGGGTGGTGAAGTTATAAGGCCATCGTAAGTACTTTGGCACTCAGAGCAGAGCAGAGTCGTATCAAGATGTGACTTATATTTTACACAAATAGCTTCTACATTAAGAATCTATCAAAAGGGAACAAAGACAGAATTAGCGGGAGTAATTAATTAGGAGGCTATTGCAGCACTCCAGGTGTGAGAAGGTAGCTTGTACAGACATGGTGGCATTGAGAAGTGATTGTGTGCCAGGTTTATCTTCAAAGTAGAAATGATAGAATTTTCTAAGGCATTTGTATATGCTGCAGAAAAGTAAAGAAATGACTCTAAAGCTTTTGGTACAAGCAACTTCTAGAATGTAATTGTTATCAGCTAAAATGTGGAAGGCTGTGAGTACAGCAGGGTTTGGGGGAAGGATAGAGTTTTTAATCACTGAGATGTGGAAGAGCACTGAAAAAGCTAATTGGAATACAGTGAGCCTGAAATGTCTGGACATCAAAGTAGGAAAGTTAAATATGCAGTTGGAATTTGGGGGAATGGGAACCCACTGGTTTCCTGTGGTCACTGAGTTACACAGAGATAAAAAGCATAATAAGTAGTCCTGAGGGTCTCCAAGCAGAGTGGCAAATATGAGAAAACCTCTGTTTCTTCATATATAAGGTGAGAATAATAAGATGAAGTATATACTGAAAAAAAAAAAAACCACATATAAGAAAACTAGTCTAATGACAGAAATAGCAGGAACTCCAAAATAAACAATTTTTTCACAGATTAAAAGTTCCCTAAGGATACTGAATGTTTCTGTGCATCTCTATATATTTGCTAATAGCAATGTGACTGGTACAAGCTAAGTAATAAAGATACAGTGAAATACTCATAATTATATTTCATTAGTTTTATAAAGAATTATCACGGCTTATTAAATAAAAGCTCACTTATTAATCTTTAACATTAAATAAATATAGACACCTTTAAATACATACAAACCTTTCAACAAATACAGAATCATTTTACTACCTAAACAAGCTGAGAGGTAACCAATTCATTTAGATGCAGATTCTGAGCTCACTTTCATTTTACTTTTATCTTTCCTTTTTTTAATTTTCTTAAGGCAGACTTGCGCATGAAGAAATAATTGTACAGATGTTAGTCATCATATATAAGTTTTCAGCTTTGAAAATCATTGTATATTTAGTAGGCTGGACAAGGGTCCAGGATGATGATGAGATAATTATTATGCATACAATTACACACCAATACCTTTCCCTACTGTTTCCAGCAAAAGGCAGAGCCTAAAAACGAAAATCCACAAATGACTAGAAATATAATTTAATATGAGCAACACGATTATGAGCACAAAATAAGTCAAGTTAATACATCAGTGTCATTTAACTCAAATAAGATAAAGAACTGCACAGGTTAAAACTGAGTCTTGAGATAATTTTCCTTCCCAATATAAAATGGAGTGTTTCCATTGGAGGTTAATAACTACTTATTATTATGAAAATATAAAACTGGCATGCAGTAGAGTAAACCTTTTGGGAGTATCTGAAAATCAAGAACAGAAAGGCATTCGGGTCTTTAAAGAGACTCACTCATTTTAAAACAAAAACTACTTCATGTACTTTGGCTTGCAATAAAATTTTATGCCTAACAGTCCAATATTAGCATCAAACAGAAAAATAATAAAAGATACCTACAAAGAACCTACAAGAATTATGAAGTGCCTGTAAATCAGATCAATTTTATTTATGATAAACACCTAAAATATCCTTTAAAATGAAGCTCTACACAACATGCTTTAAATTTAAAATGTGATACAACTCAAAAGAATCAAAATAATATTGCTGAAGGTCAGGAAAAGGTACCTTACCATTCATTTCCTTGTGAAGGGTTTTCTAGAAGTACTCGGATTATGTATAATAAGCAGCTTAGTAATTTGAGAGAAAAATTGAACAGGCGAATCCTTAGACCTTTAAACAAACAATAAAAGTTTTATTTTCATTTGAACTTAGTTCACAAAAGACTAAAAAGAATTGTCAAAAATATCAACTTTAAATACAACACTTAAATTGTATTGAGAAGCTACACTACTATAATTATCTAAACTCTCTGAAGTTCTTGGTGGCTGAATTTTAATTACCTGAATATTGAGACAAAAAGTGAGTTTGACAGAATACTTGAACTGCAAATGAGAGTGCATATTTTATACCAAGACTAAATCTAGATTTGAACATTCAGAAGCCACAAAATGTATGTCCAATCAAGGTTGATTAAAGTATGTTTATAAGTTTAAGCATTTTATATATCCATAAATTTTGGGATAAAGTTTAACTGGCTAGAAAATCTAGCTGCTTACAAATTCACAAGCCAAGTTATAAAACTTATACCTTCACAGAATCTTGTAGATGTGATTATAAAGAAATTAATTATATTTGTATAGTTCTATGTTGTGTATTTAATATTAACTATATAATTATAATACATACCAATTATATAATTATATGTTATTTTATTCATTATATAATAATATATATTAAATAAGTATAGAGAAATCTTAATAGCTTACACTGAGAAACACACACACAATCTCTCCACCTCTCTCCCACACACATACATTTAAAGTTCAATAAATTAAATTCTATTTTTAACTATTTAAAATACCCATGAAATCTTAAACTTTTGTGGGAATTCAAACTGCCATGGATGTATCTTCTAAACTGTGTAAGTCACAATTATGCAGCCTGTAATATTCAATGATGATGAAGAAGAGTATTTAAGATTAAGCAAAATACGCATAAAGTCTGATTAATATGAGCATTATCTTTCCTGTAATTACCTGTGATATCTGATTCATGCATTATGAGTAAAATTTTGATGAAGACTTCCTTATAATTATTACTTAATAAAATCTAGAAATGAAATGTCACTTTTTTTGTCCTGCTCTGCCGTTGTGAGTGTACTTGCGGTAACATTTCTTACCAGTTAAAAGGTCAATGCTTATCAATTGTGAAATTTTTCCTAGATTTTCCAATTAAAATGTTGAATACATTTTATGGATTCACTTCCTTATAAAATCTTTCAAATTATTAATGCAATTGTGCTGGTTTTATAGAAATGGGCCTCCTCATAACTGCTTAGTTGCAGTTGACTATGGGTGAAGGATTCAAACAATGCATCCACCTTTTTTGGCCTGGAAAGACAGGACTCTTAGTGCAGAAATAAGGGAAACTATTCAGATGATGTGACCCCTTTAGGTAATATCTATTTATGGGGCTTCCTTGGATATTCTGAACAATCATGTTAGAAAAGCATTAGTTACTAACAGTCTCAACCTTGAGGCCAGTCTGTCATTAAGACTATCTGAGCAGTATGACTTAAATATTGAAATATTCTCCATCATCAGTATTTGGATAGCTTCCCACAAGTGAAGCTTCTCTCTTTGAATCCTACCTACAGAGGCACAACTTAATTTTGACAGGATTTCGCGGTCAAATTCACAGAGCTTAACATCTACACCGACTAATGCAGGCCTTTCCATTCCTTGTGATATTTTAAGCAATGACCATGAAAAAAATTGCATATTGGCTTATTACATATGACTTTTTAAATATATATGGCATTTTGGGAAGCAACAAGTATCAGAGGCACTCCTAACATTGAATAGGCTCAGGAGGACAGTGACTATGCCAATTTTGTATTCTTGAAGTTCTACTTTGTTACTTTCTTACATTTGTATGATGATAAGAATCATTGGGATGTTAAACTCTGAGATCTACTCTACACTTCCTGGTTCAAAATCTTCAGGCTAAGAAAGATAGGAATCTGTGTATTTCAGTGCAATCTAGATGTTTCTTATTATTTGGAATGATTAGGAAATATTAAACGTTCCCTTCCCTAAATCAGACAATTGTTTCCCATTGTGGTCTGCCAGTGCTTTTTGAAACTACAATATTTAGAGTTAAAATGGAGAGACCCTCATTTAAATTATTTTCCTCAATGTTTCTACTAATCCAGATAGTCTACTCAGAAGTCAACTTATTGACATGGAATTTGGAGAATTGAAGATGTTCAAGAGGCATTAATATCACTATTGTAGTGTCTATATTTTTCTAAAACGTTACCACCTGCAAGAAAAAAATAACCAATTTTATTCCTGTATCTAAAAAGTATTTTGCAAAAGATTACACAGTTGAAATATTTTGAAGTAAATATATGTACGAACAGAGGGGGGAATGAAATGAATAACTTACTTGATCTCTGGTTTTTTATGAAAAATAATTTTAGTCTTTCTTTAAATGTATTTTCATTCATATAGAATTCAACTTGGACTCTGCAAACAGAAAATAAAAGCATGTAAATGTATGTAAGCAATCATATATTTATTTTCATGAAGAGCAACAAATATAAATTGATCTGTAGTTCTCTAATTAACTTAAAGAATAATATATTTTTAAAATAAATTATTTGATTTAATGCATTATATATTTTAGTAAATTCCCTGCCATGGAAAATGAGAACTGAGTCAAGTACTGATTTAGAGAGGAGCAGTTACTTTCTACTTTTAAAGATATAATCATTTTAAATATTATACACAGTCAATCCAATTATTTGTATTAATAAATGTAATGAGTGGTATGGATTATTCAAAACAGCAATAATGCAAAAGTCTTTAATATGTGTCTTTGAAAGGGTTTTGAATCAGTGCTTTCCCCATTTTTTTCCCTGTGTAAGAATTAACTGATGCTTGAAAAATTCAGTCTGGGCACCACCATGCCAGATGTACTTATTCAGAATTTTAAAAGACAGGGCCTAATAATCAGTTCCTTACTACATCTAGAGTTTATTTAGAACACCATACTCTATAACACTTTACCTTCTTACTTATGGATCAACCAAGAAGTAGTAGTGGCAAATAGAATTGTTAAAGTTACCACAGAGATTATAAAGCAAACAACTAAATTAATAGAGTGCGTATTATATACTTGATCCACTATGCAAAAATATCAACAGTCTAAAATAATAACATTACTTTAATAAATACAATAAATACTCTAAATTCTAGCAATCTTCCTTTGGTAAGGCATAATTAATACTTTCAAAATACTAAGTGAAAAGAGAAATCTTGTTCAGTGCAAGGTAACTTATAAATAGTACTCAATTTCCTTAATCAGTCTCAAATATATTTATTATGAGTTAGAATTTCAAAAACAGCTAAGAATGGATTTTGATGTTTACACAAAAAACAAATATTTAATTTCATTTTTCCTAATATGGTAACATTTTGAAATTGTAATTCACGTAAGCCAGACAAGGTTTGGGGGTCATTTTTTGGGGGTGAGATTTTTGGTTTTGTTTTTTGCAAGAGTAGATACCTTAGAGAAAACTAGCAGAAAAGAAAACAACTGACATTACAAAGCTGCTCATGCATTTGAGAAATATTTCACTATTATATTATCCTATAAACTCTCTATTACCCTGCTTATTCAAGGAAAACCATGAATAGTTTAAAAGTAGTTTCTTGTGTTACAAAAGCAACAGGGCATTTAAAAAAATTATTATACTTTAAGTTCTAGGATACATGTGTAGGACGTGCAGGTTTGTTACACAGGTATACACGTGCCATGTGTATGGTTTGCTGCATCCATCGACCCGTCATCTACATTAGGTATTTCTCGTAATGCTATCCCTTCCCCAGGCTCCAGTTGTGTGATGTTCCCCTCAACAGGGCATTTTTAAAATTAATTACCAATCAAGTTGTATGTGTTGTATCTTCTAAAATACTTGAATGTTCTTTTATATCTTCTCTCTAAAGAATACATTCTATTTTTATTTCCTTGTTATCATATTCTCACTTACTTTGTTTTTTCTTCTTCACCTTATACATTAAATAAAATTGTTTTAAAGTAAGCAAGATTCTCTTTAGTCGATAACTTCTCCAGATTAGAAGTTGAAGAAGAACTTCTAAAGAAGCCACTAAAATGGCAATGATATCTTTTAGCAGAACATTTCCATCTACAAATCTACATACATGTACATGCTACAAAAGCCCATGCACACATATACAGAAACAAAACTTCATCGGTGTCTTGAAAATGCATTATTGGATCTGTTTCCTTTGTTTATCAAATGAAAAGTCAGTTCATTTTAAATATAGTAACTGTAAATAGTGAGATAAAGCTAAATTAGTTGGAATTTGTTATGGCTACATAAGCAAATTTGAGAGGACATACAGCTATTACACAAATAATTCAGCAAAGGCCATGCAGATTTGCTTCCTAGAATTACCAAATTTGTAAGAATGATTCCATTTTTCAGATACTATTGGAGTTCAGTACTGGGTATGTAATAGAGGAGCCATTTTTGTTGTTGTTGCTGTTGTTTTTTTGAGATGGAGTCTTGCTCTGTTGCCCAGGCTGGAGTGCAGTGACGCAATCTCGGCTCACTGCAAGCTCCGCCTCCCGGGTTCACGCCATTCTCCTGCCTCAGCCTCCCGAGTAGCTGGGACTACAGGCACCCGCCACCATGCCCGGCTAATTTTTTATTTTTATTTTTATTTTTATTTTTGTATTTTTAGTAGAGACGGGGTTTCACCGTGTTAGTCGGGATGGTCTTGATCTCCTGACCTCATGATCCGCCTGCCTCAGCCTCCCAAAGTGCTGGGATTACAGGCAGAGAGGAGCATTTTTTAACTAAAATGAGGTCATCTACAACCTTAACTAAAATAATGAGGAATCTGGGAAACATATCACATGTGGAAAGGTTGAAGAAACTAGAAAGAATTCATAATTATGAAGAGTTAGGAGTCACAGTTGTCTTTAAATATTTCAGTGACCAACATTATTAAAATGGAATGACACATAATGCGATTCTCTATTAAATAGAACTAATAATAGATGAATACACAAATTATGAATGAGAATTATCCAACTTTGCAATGGCCATCAGTGTGGAGAGCTCTCCAATACCTATAAATGTGCCAAAGGCTGGACAACAGCTTGCAAGCCACTGGCTTTCTCTTTCCTGAGAGCAAAGGCAATTTTGCATGGTGTGAAGTCTCTCATTAAATAATTTCCTAATCCCAATCTAATTATCAAATTATGTGAAGTAAAACTCTTAATGAGTCTGGCGATCTGAGTCAATATAATCATTGAGAAACATGGATTATATTAAAACACAAAATTATACAACTTTTTTTAAAGCCAAAAGGCAAGCAAAATGTTTTTTGATACATGACTTATTTAGGGCACACAAAAAAATGTCCTTTAGGCTTACTGGTTATGGTATAAAGTAGAGCTTTTTAAAAAAAAAATTGATTTAATGTATTAAATTGCTCTTTCCAGCAGCAAGGCATGTTAGTGACAGCATATACTTTTGAGACCTTCCTCAGCACCAAACAGTTTTTTAGCACCCAGATATTTAGTTCAGAGTTTAGTGTTTACCCTTCCCGGTGTTTTTCAGGATTTTAACTGGTTTTAAATATAATCTCACTGCTTCCTTTTTCAAGTTTAAACACTGTTTCATCTCCTCCCTCCATTCCTTCCTCCCTCCTTTCCTTCCTTTAATCTTGCCTCCCTCTCTTCCTTCTTTTCTTCTGACCTCCCTACCTCCATCTAACTTTATCTGAATTTACTTACATCTAGTAGACGCTGTTAGTGTACTCTTTAGTGTACTCTTCTTACACTAAGTTAGTGTACTCTTTCTGGACCTTCCCCAGAACCATAGAGTTTTGAATTAGGGCAAATCTGCTCTCATCAGTTTTTTAGATGTCATTTTTATCAAAGGCTTATACAAAAGCTAAAATTTAAGGTAATTTTGTAACATTTATTCAAATACAATAATAACAATTTTATTTGATTTTCAAAGATACTGGAATTCCAATCATTGCTAGGTGGTATCTTCTATTGAAATATGTTCTCCCTATTTAATAGTTATTTTTATGTTGATCAACAACATTTTATTTGGGTAGATCTTACATATTCTTTGTGACACTTATTCCTGGCTATTTGATAATTTTAGTTGCTTTTTAAAACTGTTTTGTTCCAATCTTTTAACTTTTTGGTTTTGATATTGGAAATGGCTACCTTGTTGATCTCTTTTACATGTGATTTTTTTCACATTTATTACTTGGGTTTGCTAGACAGACAGTCATGGATATGTTCTTTAAGACCTCACTTAATGTCATCCATAGCTTCTTTGTGACTTTAAGAGAAATGATAGATAACAAATCCAATTTTACCATCGACTAACTGATGTAAACAACAGTTAAGTTTCTACTGGACACAAAAATGTCACCAAACTTCTAAATAAAGACCCAAATACTTTTTATATTAAAGGTTGAAATAAATATGAACTACACATATATTCAAGAAAGATTAATGAAAACAAGCAAGGTTATTTACCCACTTGTTCCAGTTCAGGGTTGTAGGTGGCCAGAGCCCATCCTAGCAGCTCAAGGAGCCAGGCAGGACGCCATCTGGACAGGATATCATCACATTGCAAGACACACTCAAACATCAACACTCATGCTAGGATCATTTAGACACACTAATTCACCTAACTTGCATATGTTTGGCACATGGGAGGAAACTGCAGTAACTGAAGAAAACCCACGCAGACATGGACAGAATGTGCAAACTCCACACAGACAGTCACCACCCCAACCAGGAATAGATTTTTCTCTCAACAATGTTATAACGAAACAATGTTGAATGAAATGGCATTATTTGAGGAACTACTGTATTTATAGTTCATTGTTTATGCCTTACTATATTGACTAGCACTTTTGGGGAAAAAGAAAGTCAAATAATTGCGGTGTTCCTTTCTTATAAGAGGATACCTCTAGTGTTTTAGCAGTAATTAATTACCCTTGACCCTTTGTATCCATTAAGTTCCACATCCATGTATTCAACCAGTTGAGGATAGGAAATATTTGGGAAAAACCAAGAACAACATCTGTACTGAACATGTACAGACTTGTTTTTCTTGTCATTATTCGCTAGGCAATAGAGTATAACAACTATTTACATAACTTTTATATTTTATTCAGTATTTAGTACTACTTAGGTACTACTAAGTGCTATTTCCCCCCCTAATTTTCCTAATGATACAGACTTGTTTTTCTTGTCATTATTCCTTATGCAATACAGTATAGCAACTATATACAGGTATTATAAGTAATCTAGAGATAATTTAAATTTTACCGGAGGATGTGCATAGATTATTATGCAAATCTTATGCTATTTTATATGAGGTACTTAAGCACTGTGGATTTTTGTATTCACAGAAGTCTTGGAACCAATCCCCAAGATTACTGAGGAACAATTGTATTTT